AGAAATGGAAAATTTCTCTGGGCAGAATACCCACTGTCTCCCCCAAAATAGCTTTGCTTCCTTGACCCCATCTGCAAATGACCATTCAAATGTCATCTCCTGTGAATCTTAATGGGACTTGCCCATCTAAAATGCACATTTAATATTCACCCTGTAAAACCATTTCTCCCTGCAGTTACCAAAGACATCTTCTGTTTCAGATAGTAATAGTCAGTGAAATGGCTCTTATGCATCAGTGCATAAGCCACCCTCTAATGGAGATGATTGGGAAGAAAATTACCACTATGTACAGGTTATTTCATAACCTCCCACAAGTTGGTTTATCGTAGTTTCCTCTGAACGTATCCTAGATTAGGCAGAAACAAATGGACACAATTCATCACTACAAGTTCTACTCCTATTCTATTATGAAAGAAAGACGATTAACTACCTTGTGAAGGAGACGGAACAAATGTATTCTTTGGCTTTGACAAATTATCACAAGGGTGAAAAAGCAGCTGTTGCAAGACAGCTGGACACATTGCAGAGAAGTTGGAACTTGTTATCAGGCTGGTGTTCGGCAATCCATGAAATGAAAAGATGTCCTCCCCAGACATGCACTGAAAAAAAGTGAATAAAGATAATTTCATGTCAGTTTAATAAAGAGGTGAGAAATGAAAAGAATATTAGTGTTTTACAATGAAAATACAGGGTGGGATTTTTGAAGTAGCATCCTTTGCACATTCATCTTTTATGCATGAAAACACAACGATTGAAAATCCTTTGCTTTGCATGGGCAAAGCCACCTAACATACTTGGGAGCACAATTCACATAATCATAGAATCACAGAACTGGAAGGGACCTCGAGAGGTCATCGAGTCCAGCCCCCCGCCCTCAAGGCAGGACTAAGCTCCATCTACACCATCCCTGACAGATGTCTATCTAACCTGTTCTTAAATATCTCCAGAGAGGGAGATTCCACCACCTCCCTTGGCAATTTATTCCAATGTTTGACCACCCTGACAGTTAGGAATTTTTTCCTAATGTCCAATCTAAACCTCCCCTGCTGCACTTTAAGCCCATTACTCCTTGTCCTGTCCTCAGAAACCAAGAGGAACAAATTTTCTCCTTCCTCCTTATGACACCCTTGTAATACCGCACCTCAGACCAATTCAGGCACTTGGAACAGGCTCATTAAAGTACCTTTGTCTAACCAGCAAAATGTGATAGGTGAGTTTTAGAGATGGCATGGCCAGGTGTACAGAAACATGAGGGCCAATCAACACAGGCATAGGGAGGAGACTAGCTCTTTTGACCTCAGTTTATCTGTCTAGAAGATGGGGATAATAATCCCAAACTCTCTGCAGGAAGGACGGTGAGGCTGAATTTGTTTATGATTGTTAAGCTTGTGAATGAGAGATGTTATATGTGTTGAACTTATTTTAACAAACCCATGGACCCTTGGGATTTCATGTCTGTCAGCCTGCTGCACAACACTCCTTCCTCCCTGTTTCCCTCCTCCCAGTCCCTGGTTTGCCACTTGGACCTTCAAGGCAATGATAGACTGTAGATTCTTTTTCTCCATCATACACAAGCCCTGACTCTGGAGCTAAGAATAATCTTCATTACCAGTTAGCACTATAGGGCTTATGATACACAGTCAGGCAGTTCTGATCCCATCCACCAGAGGACAATGATGCACATACACACTCACTAACTCATTACAGCATCGATATTTTGCCAGCTAGAATAACCTAATCCTGATGCTATTCTGCTCACAGCCCCATGTGACAAGTCACCAGAGGAAGTCAGGACCTTCAGCACAGAGTTCAAAAGCGAGTACCCAGAATGCCTTGTTCCGAAACAAGAGAAGGACTGTGCTGGACTGAAGGAAGAAGGTGCACCTGCCCCGTATCTGAACAGGACATTGTCGAGTGCTCCAGCTCAAGGTTAGCTACACAAGGCCAGACTCTCCAAAGAGCTCAGGGCCAGTTTTTCACATGCTTGGTGTAACACTGACAGGCAGAACCAAACCCGGGACCTCTAGAGCTTAGTGCAGGAGCCTCTACGTCTCTGAGCTAAAAGCTAGCTGGCTCATAGCTAAGGCTGTACTAGAAACTCATTCTCCCTCTCTGTAAGGGCACATTTACACTGCACCCTTAGCGCGAAATAAGCTACACAATTTGAACTATGCAAATTGCATAGCTTATTTTGAGTCAATTTCAAAATAGCTTATTTCAAAATTTGTCACTGTCCACACAGAGATGTTGGTGATCAAGAGATAGACGGAAGCCCCAGGACCTGGTGACTTGCTGACATCTAACTTTCCTAAGTGATTTTTAACTTGTTCTTTGTGTATCCTATCTTCTAAACTTACCCTCTCTCTGCTTGTATTCTCTGCTTGTATTCACTAATAAGTCAATGGAACTTGTTTCTAAGTCACTGGACTTTGGAAAATTTTCTGTGTAATTATGATCTCATTGAAAATGCTGGTTCACTGAACATAAAACTAGTCTCACAACTAAAGAAATCTAAAAATATTTAGGGTACCATTAAAATCTCAATGACAACATATCAAGTAATGATAGTTACTGCACCAATCATTATTCATGTAAATAAATATTTCAATCACATGCTATTTTATGTCTCAGTAAACTTGAATTAAACAGTCCTAAGGGATCTTATAGTAAGTTGTTTGCAATGGTTCTTATCTATTTCATAGCAGTGACAGAACAAATCGGACTATACTCACTTTAACATAAAATAAGATTCCACTAAGATATGTACCTCGTGCTCATTAGCCCCTTAGCATAGGACAAGCCAGTAGTTCCTCCTGTGCTAGCCTGAATATATTTTGTTAGAGTATGTCAAGCCAGGAATTCTTTTCAACATCCAGCTAATAGACAGAAATCTTGATTGAAGTTGTGCAGATATGTAAGGATTTGTTTCACAGTAACAGTGTATTATTCCTTTTCATTCACACACTTTTCTATGACAGTTCCTGAAGTAGTTCTTCAGAGGAGTATATCCAAGAAACAAAAGTTTTCACATGCCAAGAATGAGTCATGAGACAAGGTGAAGTCAAATTTTCTTTCTATACAAGACACTGCAAAATAGTTAAACCTAGAATGTCTGTGATTATAAAAGTTTGGGGGCTTTAAGGCGTTTTAGAAAATATGTATTAAGGGCCGCTGCCACAGGGTGTTTCCCAGGGTTCCTGGCCACGGCTGCCTGTCTACCCTACCCCACTGCCAGGCCCAGTCCTTCTGCCACTGGGGATTCTAAGGCTAGGGCTGCCTGCCTCCACCAATGCTGTTTCAACCGGGGAGTTCCTTGGCCAGCGCTACCCAGTCTCTTTGGCCCTGCTGCCACTCGGGGTTTTCTGGGGTTCCCAGTTGTGAGGTTGCTGGCAGCTGGGCAACCACAGTAGCCTTCCCCAGCTGGAACTGGGATTCCCCAACTGGCTGGCCCAGCTGACTCTGGGGGTTCCCTGGCCAAGATGGGGGCTTCTCAGCTTGGGCTCCGTAGCCCCCGTGTTCTCTCAGCTGGCTCTCACTCCTCACTCCACAGCTCTTTGTCCAGCAACATCCCTGACCCTACCAGACCACAGATGTTGACAGACCAGAGAGTCCCGGATTTGGGAGGTTCAACCTGTACATATCTTGCAACACTTGCTACAACAATGTCTGTTCCCCCTTTCGGGTGACATTACCTCATGCAAATTGTAACCAAACTTGTTTGTCTGAGCGATTGGCTGAACAAAAGAAGTAGGAATGAATGGAGTTGTAGGCTCTAAAGTTTTACATTTTTATTTTTGAATTCAGATATTTTTGTACATAATTCTACATTTGTAAGTTGCACTTCCATGATAAAGCAATTGCACTACATTACTTGTTAGATGAACTGAAAACTTCTATTTTTTGTTTTATACAGTGCAAATATTTGTAATCAAAATAAAGTAAGCACTGTCCACTTTCTATTCTGTGTTGTAATTGAAATCAATATATTGGAAAATGTTCAAAATACTCAAAAATATTTAAACAAACAATATTCTATTATTGTTTACCTGAGCAATGAATTGCATGATTAGTTTTCTTTAATCACCTGACAGCCCTAGGGATGTAAAATCTCATTTAACTTGCTAACAGGTTAAACATATTGTTTATCTGGTAAACCCTTTAAAGGGGGAGCGAGCGGAGGGCTGCCCCCCTCTGCCTGCCGCTGAGCTAAAGGTCCTCTCTACCCCATCCACTGCAGGCAGGGACTGCACCAGCATCCCAATCGGGGCCCTGCCGCAGACAGAGGCTGCACTGGCCGGGCCACCAGACTAGCCCTTGTCTGCAGTGCACCCTCTACAGGGATAGAGCACTCCCCTGGCCACACCACATGGGGGAGCTGCTTCGGCAGCCACCAGTTAAGGTTAACTGGTAAGCCTTGCCGGTCAACCAGAGACCCCACAGAGGGCCCAGGATCTTATCAAACATCTGTGTTGGAAGACTCCAGAAGCTCTCCAGTAGATATTACTAAAGAATTTCTTCGGTTTGTTGAATTCACGTCACTCTCAGCTATAAAGAAAAAAGATGACCAATGTTGAAACTGCATTGCAGCTGTATTTGTCACGTGATCACAACTGTAGTGGAGAACGTTCCTTCTCTCTCCATAGGTCAAAAATGTGCCCGATCCACCATGGCACAAGAGCATCTCAATGTTCCTCTTGTGCAGTGAGAATGAAATAATCAGGTCTTTGAATTACGATGACAAAGCTAAAGCTAGTGAAAAAAATGTTTTTTGAAGAATTGAGTGTAGAATAAACATGTTAATATGTATTTATGTAACTATGTATATAGATAAATGTTTGAGAACTTCATAATTTGTTTGAAATATGCGTTTAGGCCCTTCCCTCCCATTAGCCTTAGACTTCTCATAACCCTCATCCAGCCTTACCTTGGCTAAGAGCACTGTATAATTGCAAAGTATTATTATGATTTTCTGACCAGACAACACATGCCTCATTTGGGACTGGAAGAATGCGATCAGACACAGGGGCACAGACCAAACAATAAAAATGAAGTGAATACAGTACTATATTAAACGTAAACTATTAAAAATAAAGTAAAAGCAGCATTTTTATTTTGCCTAGTAAAGTTTCAAAGCTGTGTTAAGCCAATGTTCATTTGTAATTTTTTTTAAAGAATCATAACATTATGTTCAGAGTGACAAACAGCCTCCATTCCTCAGGTGTTCATAGCTCTGACATTCTATTGTAAGTAGAAATAAAGTCAAGCAGGAACATAAATAAAATGCAATAATTTTGAAAACACAGTTGAACAATCAATATTACCATCCTTGCGATATTTTGAAGTTGTTTCCATTGTGAAGATGGATAAAACAAAAAGTCAATATATTGAAATTTTTCATAAGACAAAAAGTTCCAAA